GGGTAATGGAAAAGTTTTCGAGAAGGTTGGCAATCCAAGAAGAAGAATCACATTACATAAATGTTTTTGAGGGTGTTACTTCTTATATTATTGCTTTTGAAAACTGATAGAAGAGTATAAAAATGTTGTGATACATTCTTAGTAGAGTTGAAATCATAGCATCTCAATATCTGATAATGATACAGCACCATATTGACTCAATAATTTGCCTATGTTTCGAAAGAACTGGATTCTGTTATGGTTAAGTTGATACGTAATATGTCAATTATCTTTAAGGTGTTGTGCTAGATCATTGAAACTAACAATCATAGAATAACCTTGAACAAGTTATGAAAGGCTGGTTGTTGTCTCGAAATACTTGCTCGATAGAATATTAATAATGTTGTGATTTATAATGACCATCTCGTTAAGTATATGATAAGTCAGTTTGTATGAGACTCTCAAGTGATTGAATTAGCAGTCGAACTCAGTGGTGGATCTAGGATTTTGGAACAGGGAAGTGACCATGGTTTTAAAACATGTGTTAAAATCCATTAAAAGTCATATCGGGTTATTAATTGGTGCTTTATGCTAAGAAAGATCGGAAAATATTTCAAAAGGGTGAGACAATTACTCCTAATACTTCCTCTACATTCGCTACTGGTAAGACTTGCTTTCTGTACAGAGCTGTAGCTAGTAATCATTGAAGAGCATATATGGAGCATAAGGAAACACTACCTATGGAGAATACGTCATACTGCGAGATAGCCTGAAACTAGGACCATTTTTGCTTCTTTGTTTCTTTAAACAAGTTGTTGATAAAGCTTTCAGCATATCTAATAAAACTAAAACTTTTTTTGAAGGTTCTTTGGCAAAGAGAATGTACTGAAGAGTTTATTAAACAAATAAACCAATGAAAAAGAATTTGATGGTGTAAACAACGGTCTTTCGTGATTTATGAAGCTATGGAGATTTTTCATCACAGTGGGCGATAGAGTTCGACAAGCTCTATGCTGGGTAAAAATTCACTGCTACATAATGTTTGAAGCATTAAGCATGAACGATAGGCATCATGCTCATATTTTCATCAAAAGATGACAAAATTTGCAAGAAAGCGTGTTACTCGATCGAACTAGTATAACCCGACTTGCTGAAAAACTCTGATTATTTATTTTTTCAATAGTAAAAACACATGATCTTCATTTCATAGAAAGTTAAAGTTTTACATCATTTGACACTAAACTACAGCAGTCGATGTTCCGTGCAGCATGACTGGAAGAGTTTAGCAAAAGTCGAAAGAATCTTCACAATAACTATAAGCCGTTGCAAAACATTTCAATAAGTGTTACTACAGGAAATTATTTTACCAATATTAGAACTCAATTCAACTATTAATCGATGAACTCATCTCATTTCTCAAACGACTTAATATCTGTCATTGCGGTTGTCTTCAATATTCATGTGTCTAATGTTTTCTCAAAAATATACAGATTTGTGTGTATGCTCAATGTCTCCGTCCGGTTTATTTCGAATTTAATCACATTTTATAACACATGATTGTTGCAGTTTCAAATTATTCTGGAAATGATGATGCAGACATTCAAAATCATCCCACTTCTTTGACATTGTTGCATTAGAAATGTCAATTATCTTATTACGAAATAGTATATCTACTGAACAACACTTAGTTTGAATCTTCCTTTTGATACTATTTTTTCTTACGGAACTCAATCGAAACGAATGAGATTTGAACATTAGTCTTTCACTGTAAACTTAGCTCATCATATGAATATTGGACAATTTTACTTCAGATATACCAAACACTTTTCTTCCAACTATCACATACAAACAAAGAAGTTCGTGTGAAATTGAATTTAGCTACTATTTTCTTCCTATTTCCATTTACTTTTTGCTTGTTTTGAGCGTATTTCCATTCTATTTTTTCTTACTCTTTATCACGAATATAATAATCATAGTCTACATGACTTTCAAGCCTATCAACTGTAAGTCAAGTGTGTTTTCACAATAGGCTTTGCCTGTTTTTTGGAGATGAGACAACATCATGTCTAGTAATTAAACAAATATTGACTATTGATTTATATGTGAAGTTTAAAAAAAGTCAACAGTCAACAAATATTGTGTCGAGTCATTTTGCGTTAACTATGTTCAGATAAAACAATTATGAAAATAATAGTGATGATTTGGATCGAAAACGGCATAGAACATAGTGCATGACAATGAATGTTGAATGGCTGATAAGAACCAAATAATTGTCAAAGTTTCTTTCAGTGATACATGACTCAATACATGCATGTTAAATGGTTGTGTCATAGACGATGTCATGCAATTATACAGTGAGAAGTAAAGCTGATATATAAAAGTTTACTCAAATGAGTGGTCATGGGTCTTTGAGACTATTTCACTTAGCAAGTCTACTTTTTCTCAAAATCCTATCAACCGATAGTCATTTCAAGACTTGTCTTGTATTATTTTACATGCTACTCACAGTTTTCAGGGATTACTGCATTTGTATTATTCTCTTCTATGTTTGCATACAAACCAATGAGTATTCTCAGAAACAAAGATTCATTGAAGAACTAATCATCCATCTAAATATGTGAATATGTACGATCCATTTGATATGAGCTACTTTTCGAAGCAGTCTGCAGCGAAAGAAAGCATTCTTTTTTGAGTGAAATGTACAGTGGCAACAAAGCGAAGTTAAGTAACTAGTATTCGAAAATCAACTCGAACACTTTGCACAACTGAGCAATCTTATTACCAAGACTTCTTTCATTTTCGACGTATCTGATCTTGGCACATATAAAAGCCTCTAGAAGGGTGCAACATGTGTAGTAGGTGAGATGTGTGGCATAGTGAGTGTTGCTCAATGGACGTGACCAGATATAATTCGTTTCTAAAAACCATTCTAGCAACCGATCATGCGACAATATATTGCATACTAATCTTCTTGAGCATTTATAAATTCCAAGATTACTTTTCATGCATATTCTTGTCTCTTTTCTGTTCATGAAAGTTTCTAATATAATTTTCTCATACCTTTACTTTTTTTCTTATTATTTCCGAAGCAAGAAAGTTTCTAAAAAAAAAAAGAACCTAACTATTTTCATGAGCGTCAATTGGTTGCCAAATCATACTTGTTTCTACTGCCGAGAGTAAAAAAAATTAAAAAATTGGCAATCGGCATCGCTGAGAAAGGAAAAATTTTACAATACATTCAATCACAACCGCTCATTACATCGATTTATATCTCGAAGACTGAGAGCGGCTCAAGGAAATATCTCCATCTCACACCCTCATACAAGAACAATGTCACTCACTCACCATGACACCGTCTCTTACCTGTACACACATATTCTGCACTGCTTTCAAGAAAGAATGAGTCGTGCATTACAGAGTCACCTTCAAATTCCAAACGAGCACCCGCTGTTCTATATGTTAACTGCGACTTCTCGCGTCTTTGTAACTTATGTACTCAAAACGCTCTCTAAAAGAAACAAAAATCACATATTGCGAACAAGTATCCTGAGATCTAAATAATCATTTAAAATTTATAAACATCAGTTTTTCTTCATTTTTGCGTAATAGTCATTATATGTAATATAAGAATGTTATAATCTATCTTTTTGATGATCATTCACCCTCTCATTCGTCTAAATCATTGGAAAAGTTGGAGTTTTGTCCATTCTGCTACTTGGAACCAACCAACGATGTCATCATTATGATAATGAAAGAATAGCTTGAATGATCGTCAACCGTATATGTACCAGATAGTGAGAGGGAGATAGAAGAAGAAGGCAATTAGAGACTTCTAATAATGTCATCATCTCATTCTGAAATGAATAAGAAAGCATAGAGAATAATCGGATTCTACTTGTAGATCACCTTAATATGACAGCTTATTCGTTGTTTGATGTTGACAACTTTGTTATTTAAACATGATGACAAAAAAATCTCATAAAGAAAAAGAGTCTCTGTTGTCAACCAATTCCATATAAACTTACTATTAACGAAAAATCAATACTAGTGTTATTACATGCTTAGCAACACAACAAGTAACCAAAATTGTTATAACCAAAGATTGTTCCTCTTAGTTCTCATGCAACTGATTTTTTTCTCTCTTTTTAGAAGTAAACATTTCCTTGATTGATTCATTTTAATATTACTCTGCTGCTTCGGTTTTTTTCTCTTACTCGCATATTTTTTCTCATTTATAATAATTTGTTCATGCATCACTTGTAGTGCAATGACAATCGCAAGAGCGAACGGAAAGAAACTAATAGAATTGCAAATGTATCTTAGTTACAATCAAAATATATTTTTACCAAGTATATAATCGATCGATTCTCATTGCAACTAATAAAACAAGTAAGAAGCGACTCGATCAATAACATAAGCGTCAATAGTTATTTTATACAAACTAACAATGAGGTATGTTGAATTGTAGCTTTATCTTATATATCAATAAATTTCATGGTTTATCTATTCTAATAGCCGTCCAGTTACAGTTCAACCTAGTGATAAGCTCTTTCCTACAAGCGGACAATGGAGCAATGAGTTATTGAAATCATGCAGTCCAATATCTGATGGTGAATAGTCAGTCAATAATGCTTTTAAAATTTTACATTCATGATTGTAGGTATTGTATATTGTTTCTGTGGAGCATGCTGTGCTGGTCGTTTACATCAACGTACAGGTGAACATTTCTGTTCATGTTTAGTTCCTGGTGCTACACAAGCACTTCGAACAAAGATTCGAATGGCTTATGGTATCAGGGTAAGTATCTATTAATGCTTATTTCTCTAGGAACAAATCATTTATTATCATATTATTGTATAGGGTACACTTGTTAATGACTGGCTTGCATCATGCTGTGGTCCATGTTCATTATTACAAATGAAGAAAGAACTCGATCGTCAGGGTGTACCAGATCCACATGCCTAATAGACAAATCATTAGTACTTTTT